TTCTGTCTGTTACTGGTTCTGTCTGTTACTGATCTGATCTTCTGTTTGTTACTGGTTCTGTCTGTTTCTGGTCTGATCTTCAGTCTGTTACTGGTCTGATCTGCTGTCTGTTACTGGTTCTGTCTGTTACTGGTCTGATCTTCAGTCTGTAACTGGTTCTGTCTGTTACTGGTCTGATCTTCAGTCTGTAACTGGTTCTGTCTGTTACTGGTCTGATCTTCTGTCTGTTAATGGTTTTGTCTGTTACTGGTCTGATCACCCTATAACAGCAGCTACAGCAAACGAACCATAACAACATCATAGTGGGCAATTAAAAAAAAACAACAAAAAAGTATTACACAGACAACACTTGCTCTCTCTCTCTCTCTCTCTCGCTCGCTCGCTCGCTCGCTCGCTCGCTCTGTCCAGTAACTACTCAGTAATGACGCAACATCTGTTACTAGTTCTGAAGTGACTGTTTAGTTAGTAACATAGTCTTCAGAGAGTCTTTGTAGCTTGTAAAGACTAGACATCTAGTCCAGAGCTTCTGGTCTGTGTCAGTGTGGTAACGCTGTGCTGTCTGTGTGTAGATGATGTGCGAGGTGATGCCCACCATCAGCGAGGCGGAGGTCGGCAGTAACGGAGGCGGTCGGGGCCCCGGCTCTCCCGTGCAGACGGACTCTGAGGGCCACTTTGAGTCTCTGATGGTGTCTATGCTGGAGGAGAGAGACCGACTGCTGGACACGCTCCGAGAGACGCAGGAGAACCTGTGTGTGACGCAGAGCAAACTGCATGAGATCAGCCACGAGAGAGACTCACTCCAGAGACAGCTCAACAGCGCCCTGCCGCAGGTAACCGCTGGCACGTCTGTGTCTGTCAGGAGCTAAACCAACCGCTGCTCAACCACAGCAATTCAATACAGTGGAATTAGGGCTGCACGATTAATCGAATGCGATCGTCATGCGTATCTTTCAGTGAAGCAGGGTTCTGTGATCAGCAGTAAATCTCCATCCGCGGAAGCAGCGGAAGCGCTTGACTGTGGCATAATAAAAGCTCCGCTGCTTTACCCCACATACGCACGACTGGAAGCAGCGGAAGCGCTCGACTGTGGCATAATAAAAGCCCCGCTGCTTTCCAGCCGTGTGTCGCGCTCGTTCAGCGCCTCGTTTCGCTTCGACGGCTTTCAGCCTCACCCTGCTTAATTCTACTACGTTAATAAATCATTAGCTCATCCATGAACATGATTTCTGCCTGATGCATCGGCTGTGGGGATGAAGACCACAACTCCCATGATTCCACACTCAGTTACACCGTCATCAAACTACGCCTTTGTCTCTCTGTTTGTTTTGAATACGCGCCCTCTAGCGGCGAAAATTATGTATTGTGCCTTTAACATTGAATTATAAATATACTTTACTGTAATGAAAATTATAATAATAAGAACTGAGATAACATAGTCCTGTGTTTATTAGTCACGCTGAATCAATGAAAGCAGTTCAGTCTTCTGTTTCTTCTGCGGGGCATATTTGGAGTTTCTTCGCCCTCGAGAGTGCCCTCTGGCCTTCGGATGGAGATTTACTACTGAACCGTGCTTCACTGAAAGACATGCATGATGATCGCAGATTTTAAATCGCGATTGTGATTTCATTTCGATTAATCGTGCAGCCCTAAGTGGGATATAGACAGGGGTACACATGCGTGACCAAAATAAAAAGTGCGCTGTGGGAGTAAGTTCAGGCCGCTCATTTGTGTGCCGACATGGCTGACAGCTGTAAATGTGCAAATATATGCTGCAAATATTATAATATAGTAAATATTAGCATTTTATTTTTAAGTTTAATATAAAATAATTGAATTTTGTATTTAATACTCCCTTTTTGATTTAAAATAAAATAGCATTATCACACTTTATTATTTTGATTATTTTATTTTTAAAAAACAAAATAAAGTGCAATAATATTAATTTCACTATTAATATTTTTTTATATAGTTATATTTAATGGGTCACACAATGTGCAGAGGACCAAACCAGATCTCCAGGTGCTCTTATGAGAACCAGGCTGAAAAACTTATGTGCTCCCCTGAATATAGACCTAAAGCAATTCAAACAGCCTTTTGTTCCTTTAATAACCTAATTTTCCCGAAGTATTGGTGACATTACTGAGACTGTCCGTGAGCGCCGTCTTACTGACCGACTGATTCCGCTGAGTGCTGTTTGAGTTGGTGGATCACTGTGTGTCACTTCAAGCAGAATCCTGTCTAGAATCATGCTTTCTTGTGTTTTGTGGCGCTGAAGGAGTTTGCTGCTCTCACAAAAGAAGTGAATATGTGTCGAGAGCAGCTGCTGGAGCGAGAGGAGGAGATCGCCGAGCTGAAAGCAGAGAGAAACAACACACGCGTGAGTTCTCACACACATTTACTTACATGTACAAATGTGTTTGTTTTTATGTATTTATTTTATATATTTTTTTTATACGCTCGATTCAATCAAACTTGATTTTTTTCACTTTAAACACAGAAGAAAGTAGTGCAGATCAGCTTCTTTGCGTACAGTTTTATGGATCATCGCATCCACAGTTATTTCTTCAGTGCAGCACAGTGAATCTAACTTCTATAGCAGTGAATGGGAGACTGCCACAAATTATATTTTTTTGCATTGCCAGCCTTTAAAGTTGTTCAAATGAAGTTCTTAGCAATGCATATTACTAATCAAACATTAAGTTCTGATATATTTACGGTAGGACATTTACAAAATATCTTCATGGAACATGATCTTTACTTAATATCCTAATGATTTTTGGCATAAAAGAGAAATGTATAATTGTGACCCATGCAATGTATTGTTGGCTATTGCTACAAATATCCCCCAGCGACTTATGACTGCTTTTGTGCTGCAGGGACACATATAATACAAAGTATAGTGTTATAAATGTACACATTTTTTAAAAGGAAAATATAAAAAACTTTGGAGGATTTCTGATGCGGATGGCCGCTGAAACGCATCGTCACAGTCTTGTGAAAAGGCTCCGTGGTTCTTTATTCCAAGGCTGATATGATGATAAGGGTCGGCCAGTGTTTCTCCCTTTGGTCTGAGTGTGGTCTGTGTTGTGTTGGCTGCTGATCTCAGTTGTTGCTGGAGCATCTGGAGTGTCTGGTGTCGCGTCACGAGCGTTCTCTGAGAATGACCGTAGTCAAGCGTCAGGCTCAGTCTCCCGCCGGCGTCTCCAGTGAGGTGGAGGTGCTCAAGGCGCTCAAATCTCTCTTCGAGCACCACAAAGCCCTGGATGAGAAGGTACTGGCATCAGGAAGCTCACGTGTGTGCCGCTGGCGTGTTTGGGGTGTGCTTTACGTGTGGCGTGTTTGTTCTGATCAGGTGAGAGAGCGTCTGCGTGTGGCTCTGGAGAGATGCAGCATGCTGGAGGAGCAGCTCACAGCCGCTCATAAAGAGGTGAGACCACAGAACAATTAGAGCTGCAACAAAACATTATTTTGAGAATCAAGTGATCTAGCGATTATTACAACGGTTAATCAACTAATCGATGATTATTTCACAGATTAATCTGTAGGCTTTGTTGTATAATTCAGCTTTTATAAATGGTGAAAATATTGAGTTACACACATTCTAACTAAGAAATAATATAAGGCAATCATGTCAGCTTTTGAAAATTTCAAGCAATTATACTACTATTGTACAATTACAGTTGTCATAGTTAGTTTTTTAAATAATAATAAATAAATTTGGCACACAAAATGAGATGACAGACTGTATATGAAAAAACAACTCGTTCTGCCTAGCGCCTCCTAGTAAGTCATGGATGTGGAACAAAATAAAAGTACGTTTATTTTTGTATAAATTATTTTATTCAAAGCATTAGCTCTCTTAAAACACCTTACAGTGTTATGATAATCAAAACTGTCCTGAGCTAGATTAAGCTTTAATTTATGCAAACCAAACTGTCACTTTAATGTAATAAATTAGTTATTTATCTATTTTTGCATTCACTAATAAAAAGATTGTATTATTAGCTAGCTCCACACTGGATAGCTTTATAACAGAAAAGCAAGTTGTATTTCTGAAAGCGTCACCGACACTGTTTCTTTAATGTTTAATACTAGGGCTAAACGATTTTGGAAAATAATCTAATTGTGATTTATTTTTTACCAAGATTGCGATTTAATATGCAAAATTTTTTTTAAAGCTCTTTATGTTCTGTATTATTCAACAAAGACAAGCTATAAATCATTGTATAGTATGACCAACACACTATTAGATAGATTAAACATACATGTTCTTCTCTGTAGGCCAGGCCGATATGTTACGATGAAATTAGGTGATGCATGAAGATATGAATTACATTTTTATTTAACAACTACAATCACAGTATATTGACTGATTTGTTGAACTTCCAACCTTGTAAGCATGTAATAATTATGTTTAAATAGCCTGGTGTAAACATTAATATGAAAATCAGTAACAAATCACACAAACTAAAGTAGATTGCAGAAATATAAAAACACATCTGTTGCTTTAGCACACTACTTTAGGTCATTCAGTCACTGTAATAAACATATGTAAACATGTGCACTGCACTAAACACTGTCTGTTAACTTAAGACCAGTGGTCCTCAAACTTTTTTGGTCGCGCCCCCCTCAGACTACCAAATAATTTCACTAAACATTATGAAAAATGTATACTTTTTTTAATTTAAAAAACCTACAGGGAAAAAAACACCTGCATCACTTGAAACATTGAAAAATAGCATCGAGAGAATAACTTATTATTATTATTATTCTCTCGCTGTTATGTATTTATTTTGTGTGGGTTTCTTGCTGTGCGCTAAGGCATAGGACACACAGTCTGTCCTCCTCACCAACGACATTAAACACGTGTCTACACCGGACGCAGTGGCAAAATACAGTAGAACCCATTATAATCAGTGACGCTGTGCACACTGGATGCGGCGCGGCGCGACAAAACCCGACATTAAACTGATGCCTTGTTCTAATTATGACGTACTGACACAAAGTTAAAATGATTTTCAACGGTTGCTTTGTCGCGTCAGTGTAGAGCTGTAGCGGCGCGATGCACAACTGTAGCGTGCGGTATAGACACGGCGAGTGAAGCCGAGAGCGAGATATGCCTCCTCATAGTTTCTGCATTTAGCTTTTGAATGACCAGCACCTGCCTGGGTCTGTGCAACTTCACCTATAGCTTTTCTCTTCGCTTTCACAAACCGATCCATCTCCCATACTAATTACGTCCTTTGGCTGTTTACTGTTTTATTTCTTTTCTTTTTCTGCTGATGGCCCGCGCTCGACTTAAAGCAGCGCTGCTCAGACCGATGGGTGTGTGTCATCAAAGCACTGCGAGAGCTATAAGAGAGCGGACGGCTCCTTATGCTTTCTCTCACTCGCCGTACTTTGATGTCATACACCGATTGATCTTCAAGTCGAACACACCTCTTTACTCTCGCCTGTCACATGACTGTGTAATCGCAGCCTCTGCGATTGAAAAATATATTATATATTATAAATATAATATATAATATAATAATATTATCGCAAATGCAATTAATCGTTCAGCCCTATTTAATACCGTATTAAAGCTGCTTGCTTTAAACCAGTCTCTTGTATAAAGCACTATATCAATACATGTGACTTGACTGGAGTTCCGGCTGGAGAGCTCATGCAAACATATCCACATCGCTATGATCAGATGCTTTCTTAACTGCTGCTTTCTCACCGCTGTCATTTTCGTTGTGTTTTTTCCGCTATTGAGAGGAAAGTCACACATGCAGCAGTGTCTGGTTTGGCTGCGTTTACACTCCGACTCTCATACACGCCGTGTGTGTCTTCTCTTGAATTGCATCCAGGAGGGCTACAGCGCCACACTGGTCAAACCGCGTTACTGCAGCTCCTTACATTAGGTCACATGAGATCAAACGACTATTCTTCGACAAAAATATTTGTCAACAATTTTTTCTTGTCGATAATGTCAACGAATCGTTTCAGGCCTAATAACAATGTTGCTGTGGGTTAACGCTTGTTTCTGGGCTGTTGTAGCTGGTGTTTCTCAAGGAGCAGAGTAATCAGAAGAGGGTGATGATTGATGGATCAGCAGAAGTGAATCACAGCTCTGATGCAGCACCAAACACTAATGGCCAGCTAAACACCACGCGACCACAACTTACATGCTCCAAAAATCATCTGAAGAGTAATCGATATGCTGATTAACTGTAGGCTTCTATTCACATATAAACATGATCATGCATGGAGCTGTTTAACTTAAATATGTTTAACAGAAGCTCAGCTGCACTTTCTTGACATGCCACTGTACCGTCTGGCACTTTTCAACACAGTGTAAACAGACGGAACTTTATTTCTTCTCTTTCGGCCTGAGAACAGAAGAGTGATATTTTCAACAAAATAATACCAGGGTTCCCGCGGGTCCTTAAAAAGTCTTGCGTTTAGTTGTATCAAATTTAAGGCCATAAAAGGTTTTATTGTACATGAACGTCTTAATCATGATTTCAAGAGGCTTTAAACTTGGGGACGGAAAGACCAGAATTGCAATATGGCGTAATGTGACGATTAAACTTCAAAATGCTCTGATTTCATTGAATATGAGCGCTGCATGTTTCAGAGTCCGGTGCTGCGCTGATGTTATCAGGGGAACGCTTGTATTTCTGCTGTTCCAAAAGCGCCACCTGCTGCAGAGAATGAATGTGCATTTTCAATAAGCCTGTTGTTTTTGTTCAGACCGATGTGAAAATCCACCCACGGTTTTACCCTGCAACCACGCAGAGCTGTAAATGTGAAACTGGTGGATCGATAAAAAGATAATGCATTATAAAAATCTAAAAAGTGTTTGTTATTTAATTAATATAATAATTTATTGATAATAGTTTAAATTAATATAATAATTAATACTTTTAAAAAAAAGGTTTAAACAAAGGCTGAAATGTGAAGTGTATCATTTGATAAAACGTTGTATCTGAACTGTAAATTATGCTTTTTACAGTCATTTAACAGTTTAGTATGTTACTATAGACATTGTCCTACCCCGCTCATATGCTATTAATTTTATTTGTGCAGATCTTTAAAAAATCTTAAATTTGAGCTTAAAAATCCTGCAGAAACCCTGAATTCAATGAAAGCGTTTCTGTTGAACATACTGCAGTTTCATGAGGTCTTCATATTCCAGTGTAAAGCACAGTGTGTGTTCACAGCAGCGCTTGTCAGACGTCTCTATGGGTGCAGAGGAGGATTGTGGGAAGGACGGGGAGCTGCAGGAGGCGATGGACAGACAGAGTAAGGAGCTCCTGCACCTGAAGGAGCGTGTGGCGTCTCTCTGCAGCCACGTCGCTGAGCTGGAGGAGGATCTGGACACGGCCCGCAAAGACCTCATCAGGTCCGAGGACATCAACAGCCGCTTGCAGAGAGACTTACGAGAGGTACGACAGCAGAGCCGGCGTCCGCAGAGGAGCGCATCGAACGAGCCAGTTAGTGACCGCGTGTTTCTGTTGTTTCTCTCAGTCTCTGGCTCAGAAGGAAGACATGGAGGAGAGGATCACCACGCTGGAGAAGCGCTACCTAGCGGCTCAGAGAGAAGCCACGTCTGTCCACGACCTCAACGACAAACTGGAGAACGAGATCGCCAACAAGGACTCGCTGGTCTGCCAGGTCTGCAGCGCGTCAGCCGTCTTTATCACTCTTACTCTTAGAAAAATAGAGTGTTTGCGAGCCGCGCTGGCAGAATGAGTGTCTAATTTTGAGCTATGGGCAAAAGAAGTAAAAAATATCAGTTTCAGTCGAATTTGAGGTTTTCGCATTAAGCCCTCTTCTAGCGATCCCAGTGCTCCAAATAGTGATTAAACATCTAAAATGATCTTTATTTGCTTGTTTTCTGAGAGGAGTATCTTTTTCTCTGCTCACTTCTGGACGACTCAAGCTGTAGGTCTATTGTTGCAAAGTGAATATTCATATAGATTTCTCCATGACATGATTTTCAAACCCATGCTGATGAAAACAAAACGATCGCGCTCACTTACATTTGCAAAGCGCGTGCATAAGACGTGCCTCTCCGAGAGCGCGCAATCTCCCTATAAAGTACATTATTGCGAAATACATCTTGGCGAGATGCACACAAACATAATCTGTTACGTCTTGCATGAACGTTCAGTTAATGTTTGGGGAAAATCTGATGTGTAACATTATATTAGATGCATGCATTACAGTAGGTCTTAATATAGATCTGTCTCAATGTTAATCAGACATTAAAAGAAAAGACAGAATCACTCGCTGCTCTTGATTAAACTACTGTTTATTTGCGTCTTTGTTCTTATTTTTAATTACAAAGATAAAATAAAAAATAGCTATATTGTGATTTAATAATATAGTAATTATTATTTAGAAAAGAATTGGAGGAAAATATGCAACGTTGCTCATTCCGACTCATTTTGCCAGCACGGGTCACATTTATTCCAAGCAGTGGTGTTGGAGTCATCACTTACTGGTGTTGGGTTCTGGCTGTATTAATGTCACAGTGATTATCCGTGTGTTTGTGATTAACCAGTCGTGATGGGTCATGAGTTCAGGCTGATGTGTGTGTGTGTGTGTGTGTGTGTGTGTGTGTGTGTGTCTCTGTGTGTGTGTGTGTGTCTCTGTGTGTGTGTGTGTGT